CTATCTATCTATCTATCTATCTATCTATCTATCTATCTATCTATCTATCTATATTTCTATCTATCTATCTTTCTTTCTTTCTTTCTTTCCTTCTTTCGTTCTTTTTTCTTTCTTTCTTTCTTTCTTCCTTCCTTTCTTTCTTTCTTTCTTTCTTTCTATCTATCTATCTATCTATCTATCTATCAATCTAGGCATAATTGAGTCTATATAAGAGGTCTATATAGAAGTCTATATAAGAGAGCCGGATAGTCTTCTTGCCCTAGTGTTAACGTGAGACTTTTACAAGAATGACGCCCAGCTCCGATGATGTCTGTCGAATGATGGACGAAAGCTCAGCACGTTTTCACCGGAAACGAGGGAGGAGGTCTCGTGGGCTGCGTCAACATGAAAATCGTATAAAAACCAAACGGCTGCAGTACAACAAAATTTATCCGTCCTCATCTGGTGAGATCGACCAACAAATCTCTTCTTCATGCACTTTCATACAAAATGAAAGTCACCCTTATAATGTGACCAAGTTGCGAAACCAAGGTCAACCGACTTCTATACAAAAGAGTGCTATGCTTTGGGTGCTCCTGGGTCACAGGGCAGATGTGAATTTCAAGGAAGGCTAGGTCTTTTCTCATATCACATTCTTTGGTGGGATTATCGAGGAAGGAAACGTATATTTGCCATAACAATCAACTACATTACTTATTTTTTTTATCCAAGTATAGTTTCGAGACTATGTCTCATATTACTGAGGCCAATCGGTGCAGCCGGGTCAGAGTTTGAAGGAATCAGCACAGAAGCATTTAATGTGCCTTGGGCAAATCAGCGTGTGCTTGAGGATAGTGGAGACTTGATAGAAAAAGTAACTTTCTCAGTGAATTGTCTAGGCTTTCGGTCCTAATACTACCACTACTGCCGTCGTCTTTTTGAGGTTGTGGCAAAAGCATGTTTGAAAGGATCATTCAACTAGGAACATTTCTAGTAGCGCCCAAATCTAGCTTTTTAGCTCAGTTTTACCACAAACTGTTCGGATGAACGGATCTTGTCCAATCTAGCCGGGACCATTCATTGGATTTCATCCTGACCTGAATCCCATATGACAGTTCTCATCTCGTTCTCGGCGCTCGAGCGGGAATCGAATTGACAACAAACGAGTTCAGAGTTCGAATCCCAATGGTAGGTACCGACGAAATGAGACGATGGGGCTATTCCGAATTGATGCAAAAACCAATCACTTAAAACTGCCAGGCTTAAGTGTCTGCCAGTACTGACAATCATTTATTCGTCTTTCTATCCCTCCCGACCATGTGCATATGCTTCGCTCACAATTACTTTATTATTTGACCTTTAGACGATGTCTCGAAAGGGTTTAAAACACCCATCACACTGAACGAAATGTCCTTGGACGGCCTTCTTGTCTACGAAAAAATGGGCCTAACCGAATGCGCGTCTCGGTGTCTTCAGGAGTTTCCAAACGACTGCATAGGTTTCATGCTCTGCCCTCATGCAGAGAAAGAGGATTTCAGCGAGGATTGTGTCGTGGTGAGGCTGTCGAACAAATTGGTCTACGGACGGGGACATGGCGACAAGCGGTGCGATTACTTTGAGTGTAAGGCCAACTCTTCATTCATCTTGTGAAGTTGTTCTCTCTCCCCCGGTCCCCTGTTTGTGTCCTGGTGTAAGAAAAATCATACCCATTTTGCACAAATTTTCATAGTAGACTGGAAATGTCACCGACCACGAGAATACGCGCCAATTCTGGAAAGGTTGGCAAGTTTGCGACTGCTGCCACGGCGCCGCCCTATGAATGCTTTACAACAAACATCTTATTAATTAATTTTTTCGTGTATAAGAAGGATTTCGTGTCTACCAGATGGGATGACGCAGTCAGATGAGCAGTGAAAGCGTATCCTGGTTCTCGAGGGTAATTGGCTTCCGCTCAGCCTTTAACCACAAACACAGATTGCATTCCGGTTGGCCAATAGTCTTAACATCGATGGGACTCAAACCCAGGGCTTATGGGCTAAAGCTAGCACACATGGAGCTAGCAGGTATATGAGCCTTTATTGTTCAATGGTATTTTCGAAAAATGGTACAGATAATATACATCATGAGATGGGCTTGACTACTAATGGATAGGATGATGATTTTTTGACTATGGTGGAGTGAAATTCATCTGCATTCCTTCCATTTCACTGGGCCTAGTGTCGATATGGGGGCCAATGTTAAATGTATGACTCAGTTATGCATTAACTGCAGGCAACTGAGAATAAAGATCATAAAGTCTGTCTAAAAAAGCAAAGGAGTTGTTGACTCTGGCTGACCTCGAATAGCCTGCAGACTAGGATTGGGACTTAGCATGAGGACAACAACAAAAGTGCATATAATCAAAGTCTCGAGGAATAGGGTGAATATACATCTCATATTATAAAATGAGATGAACTACCCACTGCGAAATGGGTAGCAGGCTCCAGGACACAAATGAATTTAATATAAGGTATGAAGACAAAGATGGTTTAA